AAGGACCAACATACAAGATGTAGAGCTCATCACGGATAACAGCTGTTGTGCCTCTGCTTAAGAACTACATGCAATTTTTTTGGTTATTTTTCTGGGCTAATAATGTTGCCTCACCCTCAAGCTACGAGCCCGGATCATGGTAGGGCCTCGAACGTCCAACACTTCACCGCCGCTTTCCTTTTCTGTGTCAAATCATACTGAACCAATGAGCATACTCAAAAAATAAACATATCCGTGCCCTAAAAATATTGCAGCCAAGTGTATTTCCAAAAGAATAACCGGATCGAAATTTGGCGAGGTGGAATGGAATCAAATTTCTATTTTTTCAAATAACTTTGTTTGTAGTGATTGAGTTGCTCAAGTTTTGTTTCTGCCTGTCAAATCAATGGGATTAAAGTAAATACTTGAAAGCAGTCATGGTACTTTAAGCGAACAAAAAACAATTGTAACTTTTTTGAGACTAACCTTGAAGACTGAAAACAGGTAGTTTTAGCCATTTTTTGTTTTCGGTCAAAAATCTTTCGGCAACATTTTTGCTTCTATTTTTAACAATCAAAATTGAAAAAAGTGAAACTTTCGAAGTTTTCCAGTCAAAATAAGTCAGATGCCGAGGATTTAAGCTGCTTAAGCAATATAGAATACTTTCACAAATCCCTAAGAAAACTGAACCTTAAAAATTCATAAACTGAAAAGTAAAACCTAAGTTTTTTCTTCGTTATCCATTTTATAATATTATAGATATGAAAAATTCAGATTTAAAAAACAAATCCCAAAAACTAACTTTTTGCCTAAAACCAACTGGGTTAAATGTACTCGGTATCATTCAAAAAAGTTTATAAATCAGTTATAATTTTTTTTCACAACGGTCGTCAGTTTTTGTGTGAGCACAATTTACAGCTATTCTCGTAAGCGATTCCTTCCGTACTTGTCCTCTGATTCAAATCCATTCCTCGTAATCCTACATCTATCCCTTCTATTTCATTTTGGCTAAATTTTGGGTCTCTTAAGTTTTTTTCATTCTCAATATTGGCGTATGACAACCTAATTTTTAGCAAAAATGGACTTAAGCTTAAATAGAGATCACATGACTATTCGATCAAAAAACCATAACAAGCTTGCTGTTTCAGCTACTACATCACATTTATTGTCATCGCTTCAACAGCACTCTTCATGATACACGCTGTCAGCTCTGGCTTTGCGCTTGGGGTGCCAACAAATTTCTCTCTCTCTCTCTCTCTCTCTCTCTCTCTCTCTTTCTTTCTTTCTCTCTCTCTCTCTCTCTCTTTCTGTCTCTTGCTAAAGACGAATCTCCAGTAACCTTAATTCCGAATCTATGAAAGATAAATAGACAACTTATAATCTACGAACTCAAAGCTCGAATGTTTCACCAACACTGGAGAATGATAACGCCGCTGGCAGGTATCAATTACTGGCCATCAAGGTCACTGCCACAACGGACTATAAACTGAACTCAGAACTATGATAACATAAATATGTATATATGACATTTCCTCTTCTTTTAAAAATTTAAATGCATAATTGTAAAAAAAAATGAAAGGAAATTGTTTTAATAGTTAATTGAGTTTTAGACCGTACGATCATCCCTCTCTCTGCGCTACGTGCCCAACTGCACGTTCAAATCAAGTTTGTATAATTTTGAGTTTTACTTTACTTTAACATAGATAACACTGTATCCCGATCTTTCTCCGCTGGCGCTAGCTTTTCTCTTCCCTCGTAGTTAAAAATAGCATCGATCATTACTGATCCCATTTTTGTCACTGCCGTTCTCTTAAGTTTGCTCCTCCTTCAGCCCGTATCATCTTGACTCTTGGAAACCTGACTAGAGCATAATCGGCTTTGTTTTTCGAACGAGCGGAGTAATTCCGGATTCGGTTATTTTATGCCCCAACCACTCGCATTCTAATTTTGCAAAGTTAAATTTTGGTAATTTCAGGACCATATTTTCTCGATCCAATTTTTGAAGAATTTTCTCGACGTAGAATTTTCTCGACGAAGTTTATCTGTAAAAACAAAATAGTGAAATTCATCCAAAATAATTTTTTTAAAAACTTTTTCAAGCATCGCATTCAGACAATTTGGTCACAGACAATTCAAGTAATTTCACTTTCAGACATTTCAGTCAACAAGAGTAAAACAATTTGGTCAAAGACTACGCAGACAGTTTCAACTTTTTAAAACGTGCGGGCAAAAATTTTTCACATGTTGAAAACATCAAAGCTTTGATAAGACGCCTGAGAATTAATTATTTTAAGTTCATATAAAACAGACAAAATTATCAAAACCAAAATTTCCTGAGCATAATTGAATTTTATTCCAATCATAAGGTTTACAATATTGGAATAAGGGCTTAAAAAATCGAACTCATCAAAGAACTGCACAATTCTTAAAAACTAATTATTTAACATGAAAGCAGGCCCAAAGTTGAGAATTTTACAGTCGGTTGAAAAAGGTATCATCTTATTACGCATGCCACCTACTGGCCACACAGTTACGCTGTTAATCTTATCATGACATGATTATCTGCAACCGCCTATCATGGATCTTGGGTAGTTGGCTGAAACTAAACAGAAACAAACGCTTTTTCAAAAAAATATATGGTAATTGCGCTTAAAATTTTCCCTAACTTAAAACCAATACCGAGTTGAACGCCTTTTTTTGCAGATGTTTGGTACATTTACATGCTTAATGTTGATATATCTTCATTGGTAAATTTTCAAAAATTAAAAGTAAGGGTATACTTGTAAACTTAATGTTAGAGCCCTATACGTGAAACTTCACTGTAGATAGGTCTCATAAGGGACCATCACCAAACAAGATGTAAATTTTTTGCACAGGTTTTTAGAACAAGGTGCAATCATTTAATGCAATGTTTGCGCACTAAAAAAAAACAAAAATCACAGAACGCAGCAAACATTGAAAGCCATTGGATATCGGCATGTCATAAATAAGAAAACTCAACGACCTCTTCTGCAAAACTCCTCAAGAGATAGCACGTCTACATAGAAAAAAATGATCCAGAATTTACGAAACAAATGCGGGATATCTGTACTTTTCGATGAGGATATTTCGTAATATTCCTGGAAGATTTACAAGGTTCTGCTCGAACAAGAATTCGACATCGGCAGCATTCAACCCGTATTTCCCATTTATTTTCGGTTGATTGATCGTTATTTAATCTAAGGCTTCTTCGAGCCCAAGATGAGCTTTGGTCGTGTGGAAAGCTTCAAAAAATCAAACAATGACATCATCGCAAACTTAATTCAAACAGAGACAATTTTTTTGTTTATTTGAGAGAGCTTGCAAATTATTTTGGATCAACCGTACAATCCAACCCAACCGTAAAATTTTACCTAGCTAATTACTAATTTTGAAAATTAATTCTGTGTAAAACATCAAACTGATTTTTTTTTAATTTTTAAAATTTGGAAATTTCTTATCATCCCCCCACACGCCATATAAAATACGAAGTGATAGATTTCGCTCCTAGTAACGTATCAACTATGACAAATAGCCTGCTTCAACCAATTTGGAACGATTTATACGACAAATTAAATCTCTGCTAAGGTAAATAGCACTAAATATATCGAGTTAATTGTCCCAAGTTAACACAGACTATCATTGTTCCGACTTTCGTAACGAAAGTAACAAAATATTGGTGCTCGGGGTGAATTTTTTTATTCTTCAGACAAATTTTGACTTTTCAACTAGCCATTTTTGACGGAATTTATTATATCATTCAAAAAGGCTTGTTGTCCTGAGCTTAAAGTTGAAAGTTATTTCACCTGTGCTTATTTTTCGCAAAGTTATGGGGGTTTAAAGATTGCCATTTTGACCAATTTGGGGCAATAAACGAGCGATAAATTTTGCGCTTTTAACGCGTAAGCGGAGATTTATTCCGCCTTAAGAAATCGTTCCAAATTGGTTGAAAGAAGCTTATTTGTCATAATTGTTTCATTACTAGGAGCAAAATCTATCACTTTGTACTTGATATGGCGCGTGAGGGGCTGATTTTTACAAAAGAATCTCGAATTTTAGAAAAAACAACTCATTTTTATTCATTACATTTAATTTTTTCATGTTATTACTGCTCCATAGACCTTAAGAGGCAGTCGAAAAATTAAGAACAGTCTTGTTGTTCCGACTTTCGATACGAAAGTAATGAAATGTTTGTGCTCGGGGTGGGTTTGTATTTTCTTCAGACAAATTTCGACTTTTTAACTAGCCATTTTTGACGGAATTTTTTTATATCATTCGAAAGCCATTGTTGTCCTGAACTTAAATGGACCTGTGATCATTTTTCGTAAAGATATGAGGGTTTAAAGATTGCCATTTTGACCAAATTGGGACAATTAACGCGCGATATAATTCGCGCTATTAACGCGTAAGCGGAGATTTAATCCGTCTTATAAATCGTTCCAAATTGGTTGAACGAAGCTTATTTGCCATAATTGATTTGTTGCAAGGAAAGAAATCTATCTTTTTGTACTTTATATGGCGTGTGGGGGGATGATTTTCAAAACAAAAATTCAAATTTTGGAGAAAAAAAATTCATTTTATTTTATTTCATTTAATTTTTTATGTTATTACTGCTGCTCCATAAACCTTAAAAGGCAGTCGGAACATTCAGGGCTTCGCCCTGATACGAGCAGTCTTGTTTGTTTTTCTATTGCTTAAGTAAGCTTTAAATATAGCTTTTTAAGAAGCGAGTAAAATTCAGGAGAAAACATTTAAATTCTATCAATTCTACCAACTTGATCATTTCATTATAGCTGCTGTGTGCGTTATTCCACTATGTATATTTTTACAAAATATAATTTATTAACCACTTATGTCAAAAGAAATAGAAAAGATGTTACGCACTTTTGATCTCAAGGCACAATTTGATTCTATTTGCAAAAGTTGGAAAAGAGTCAATGAACGAAAGAAAACATAAACAAAATACTGATTAGTTTTTTGAAAAATTTTCAACTTTCGAATTACAAAGAAAAACACATACATAGCCTGAAAGGTCTTTGAATTTGAAGAAGAACTTATTTTTGACACTTTTTTATTGATTTAACCCAAATTGAGAAAACTGGATCAATGTGTAAAACAAACAAATAAAAATCATCAAAACCTATAGAAGAAACTTCACTATGTTCATTGACTCTAAAAAGCCCAAAAGTGCTTAAGAAATCAAAACATACTAGAGCTATGATTATTAAACCACGACTCAAATTGTTTTTGCAAGTACTCTTAAGTTGCATTTTTCAATCAAAACGTCAAAACCTGCACATAGATTCAAAAAAGCAACAGATTATAAAACTAAATTTGATAAATTTGCAAATTGAATGATTGGCTAAGCCTGCTAAAAGGAATGGCGAATGCCTACTAAATAAACGTAGATTCTGATGTGAAAATAGCACTTCTTCTATGAAGACTACACTAAATTAGCACAACTAATGATAAAAAACAAACAGTGGTACTTTTTCGAGTATTTTTCTGAGCTGAGAGGGTTATTTTGATAAGTGGCTAAACCAAGGCAGGTCGCAATAACTGCTGCCTAAAATTTCCTCGAAATCTCATAAAAGTACCGCTGTTTGCATTGTTCACAACTAATGCTACTCAGAAGAAAATATTCTTCTGGAAAATCAGAATTAAATATTTGTAAGTGAATCGAATTTTTTTTTTCAAGTGAACCTTTACAACAGAAGCTGTGAACAGATATGCCTATGAATAGGATTCAAATTACTGATATGCAAAATAAGACTATATTTAAGTTTTACAAAAAGCCATCATTTGTGAAATAAGAAATGCAACTTATTAAAATTGGGCAATATAGTACAAAGCAAATGAAACAGCATTAATTTATAGATAAAATATGACTCACGAATCCGGTGAAACTATGGAAAATTTATCTTAATTCAGATTAATTTTCGATTGAAATACACGAGCCGTTCAAAAATATCTTCGTAACGTTGGTCTTTTCAATGCAAGACCACTAGCTAAGATCTTTTATGTTTAATCTTTTGTCTTCTATCTTTTTGATTATAAATCACCAGATTTCATAATTCAGAGGTATTACAAACGGTAACCTCGAACGCACTAAATAGCATCACCATTTTAGTTTTTAGTCGTTAGGTTCACTTTGTGTAGGTTAATGCTCTTTCATCTAAGTAATAATTAAGTTCACTTTGTGCCAAATTTGTGAAAAGGGTTGTTTGAGTTCTTTTCTATTCTATCTGTGTCACTGAATCTTCAGTTTCGTCATTTTTGAATGCTCCCTTTTGAACTTCATGGTTACACGCACCTATATATCCATGACAGATTCAGAATCGGTCGATGGTCGCTGGTTGAGTCACTACTTCCGTATCTCAATTTAACAAGACTTTTAAAGTGTTTTCATTTCAATTGTCGTACATGTTGATATCTGCGTAAATATCCGTTGGTTTCTTTTTTCTTTGTTCCGTTCTTTCTAACAGTTTGTCGTGCCAGCGTGAATTCATGCTATTTATCTGCATCTACCTATTTTCATTTTCGTCCTAATTTACAACACTGCCACTGGAAATTTAGGGACACTGGAACCAAAGCGAGAACCTACTCTAGTGAACCCAGCTGGGCTGTCTTGGCGTTGGAGTGTTAACAACAGCCGAATTTCGATTAGCAGAGAGAGGAGAGTCTGTGTAGTTCTCTGTCTTCTGGGAGACTTGATTAGGTCTGTCTGAATCTTGAGGAGTGACTGATTCGAATCTCTTGACCATATTGCGCACAGAGGGACTCATGTCTTCCCTGATTCCGGGAACAACGCTGCTACAAAAAAAAAACAATCACTTTGAGACCAGGAATAAAATTATCCAAGAGTATATATATGCTAACAAAGCATCATGATCATCAACGCTGTCATCGTTTTGTTTAGTTGCTTGGTAGGTGATTCATCAACCTTCATCTAGGCCTAGTATTCAGTTTTGGGGTATTCTGTACATCTTCAGACTTAAGAAGTAGTACACTATTAGCGATGCATCACTAACATAGAATGGCAAGCTAGCCCACAAATGAGCTGAAATCCTGCGTAAAAAAACTACATGGTCAAATGGCGGAAAAAACTATTTTACAAAAATTCACGATTTCTCTTAAATGCAAATTATTTTCGAAGAAACTGTCAATACGGCCTATTGTCAGCCTTAGCTGAGCATTAAATAGAAAAAAATTCAAAGCAGGAACAAAGCCGATAATACTTGCACCGACAATAAATATTGATTTACAAATTATTACAAGTGCGAGAGCAAGTGTATCGCAATGCAATGCGATAATATACTTTTTGCTACAAGTTAGCTCACAGAACTAGTCTCCTGGAGGTTTCTAGTTGAAGTGTAGTGCAACACCTTTTTTGAGCATCCTTTGTGAGACAAAAAAATCCTTGCTGAAAAATTCGATTTTTTTAATGCTCAGATTCTTTGCACATCATTTTTTGCATCCGTAGTGCCAAAAAAGATATGCTTAGAACATCAGTATAATAAAAATCAAATTAAAAAATTGATACGTCTCCCTTAGCATGGAAATTTTTTTGTACAACAAAGGACGTAATTTATTATGATGCAAACATGCTCAAAACAAATTGTTGCACTAAATATCCAACAGATACCTCAATATGAGTCCTGCGAGCAAATTTGTAACAGAAAAGTCATAGTATCCCATTGCAATACAAAAACACTCGCACTTGAAATAATTACAGAATCAATAATTATTGTTCCAAGTCAATGATCGGGACGAACTATAGAATTACTAGAATTTTCATTCCCGCTCAATTTTGACTACTGTCAGTAGAAGCAGTAGACCGGTCGTTTAATTTGAATTTCCAAGAATTTGAGCATGACAGCAAGTGAATGGAGTGCACGGGAATGAAATCTTATGATTTTGTTAAACTAGTTGCAATCCCGAAAAAAAATTCGATGTTCCGATTTGATAATCGCAAGAGTAACAACTAAGTTAACAATTTTGATCAATTTGTCAAGAAAAAAGAAAAAAAGCAAAACAAAAAACAGCCAACAGACAGTTGGAAAAGAGTTAATGAACGCAATTAAACAGAAAAAATCACTGACTTGTTTTTTTTTTGGAAAAATTTCAACTTTCCGAAGAAAAGATGGCCTTAAAGCTGTTTGAACTTCTAGAATAATGCATATTTGACAAATTTTTGTCGTAACCGTTACACTTTCGCTGATCGATAGCGGATTGCCATACTTTTAAAAAAGGAAATGAAGTGAACTTCAAAAAAATGATGAACGACGAAAAAGCATCGCGACCTATATAAGAGTCTGAACTATAGTCGACGACACTTAACAATGGAACTGAAAACAGTCTCATTGGCATATTTTAGAAATAGCAGAGCTTTTAAATGGCCGGAAGAAAACGAGAACTTGAGGTCAAACAGAAACTTTTGAAAGTTTCGTTATTTGACACAGATGATGCCGCACTTGCAACCACTAGTCAAAAATAGAAGGGTTCTAAAATTGCCAAAAAATGTAAACATTATTTGAAAAATCGAAAATTAACGTCATACGGGAATTGCACCGCCAATCTCCAGATTATGGATCATTTGTCTCCCTGACTGAGCTAATTGACCTGAGGTTCTTACAGAGTTCCCACATCATGCAACAGTTAAACAGTAAATACCAGGCGCTCCAAGACAAGCTACTAAATTGCTCACCAATGAAATTGAAAATAAAAATTGAATACAAATTTAACCGAATTACTTCGGGAAAAGTTGAGTAGTATTATAACACTAGCATGTGCTTTTGTAAACCTCCAACCCATCCTCGGGAAAATTCTAGTTCTGGCGCAGAAACTTATGATTAATTTGATTCCGTTCTATTACTTACTGTCTATTTGGATCAATGCGGCCATGATTTTTGCCCGCAATGTAAGACGGAGTCTCCACCACCATCGACATTATCCTGGCACTATTCTTTCCGCTCAGCAAACTCAAAGAGCCGTCTGTTTCGTCATAATCCGGAGCTGGAATTTGTCTCGGCTCTTTGATATTCGGCTTCACGTATGCAATCTGCTTTGCGAGCCGAGGCTGGTATTTTTCAGCTGCCGGTAGGATAAACGCAGTTGGTGAATCAAACGATTGCTCTGTAGATTTGTTCACATTTTCTTCAACAATTGACATGACTGAATTCACGTAGCGACTAGTCTGCAAAGCCGAATCGTAATCAGGCGGAGGAATAATTTCACTGTTTTTCAAGTCTCCATGAACTTGTTGGACTGACTTTTTCTCTACTATTTTTGTACGACTATCAATGTCAATTATCTCGTGCAAGTCGACAACTTGTCCCATTACAACCTCATAAGGTTCAGAAGTATCTGGTTTCACTATACCTTCAAAAGGTTTGTTGGCACTTAGGGGTAAAGTGGGAACTATTTTGATAGGAGACTGATTCTGATATTTATTAGGGGTACTGTTGTAATCGTCGTCTTCGTCTTCGTCCGACATATCGTAGTCTGGGTTTGAGAAAATCTCCTCGGGGGGATCTGTTTCCTCGTATGCATCTCGCTCTGGTTGCACTAAAATTTATTAAATTATTACAAGTTATCACTCATTGCACAAAATTATCATTTAACTTATTCTGACACAATAGCGGATTTAGGGGGGGACGTTCCCTTTTTAAGAGTTCGACCCCCAAACGACCCAAAGAGTCTTTGCACTTTGTAATTTCTAGGGGGAAAACCCTTTTTGGCTTTTTTTTCAAAATTTTGCCTAAACCGCCCCTCTCAATAAAATGTTAGATCCGCACCTGTTCCGACATATTAGCTACGTTCATTTTTTTGCATACTATCACACAATCAGGGAAGGCTATCGCAACAACAGAATAGTTTTTTTAAAGCTGAAATTCGACCATCGCATCCCATCCCATGTTTCTTGGTAAGTTTCGCCGAAAACTTGTCCAATTATAGTAGCATAGGTCTTCCAATCAACGAGCAGTTACAAACTAGTGGATATTAGGCCAAATTGCATATTTAGGTAGTGCAAGTTGTCATTGCAATATGTCAACACCCTCAAAAAATTGACCTGCCCAAATACACCATAAAAAATAGAATATCATGTTCTGCGGTCAAAGAACCCATGCCAACAATAAAAATTCATCACCCTACCTTCAGTAAAAAAACACCCACCTTCAGCAAAAATGAAAAAAAAACAGTAGTTTTTATTTTGCTAGGAAAACCGCATTCAAAATAAAATTTTGTTCTGAAGCTAAATTTCGTGCTCTGACAAAGCCAATATGGGTGAGGAAGGCACCGCACTTGTGGTTGGTATTCTTTGTCTTTATTAGGTTAGGTGGAGTGTATATCTGTACCGCCTTATTTCAATATTCTTTCTATTTGGGGCTACCTTGGTTGTAGAGCCTTTGTTAAAACCTTCGTTATAATCTTATATTGAAGTCAACTTAACTTCACAAAAATGTCTTGTCAGAAACTCAGTTTGTCAAATCTGAAACAAAAATCCGGAAATTTTATATTAGGTGGTTCAGTTATGAACACAATGGTTACCCATATGCGGTAATTCTGTTTTAGACTTTTCAATCATGAACACCCTCGCTTACTATAACCGGTGGGTTTAACAGAAATGGGTTTAACAGATATGGGTTTAACAGAAATGGGATTAACAGCTGGGCGTCTGAAACTTTCTGAAGCGGTCTTTACTTCACATGACTTTGCTAGATTTCGCATCAAATGTAGTGAAGACGTCCCATGTCAGTTTAGCCAAACCAAAGTTTATCAGAAGAGTTCGTTTAATAATCTGGACGAGTCTTGATCTAAACTGCGTTTTCTTTCGTAGTTAAATCGTAGTTGCTGTCTGGCACTAAGAAAATTACGATGAAGTTACACAAGCAAATGTAGGCTTTTTGTTCATTCTTTTTCCGCAGGACAGTGAGCGGTCCAGTGTAATCCAGGCCAACATAGTTGCATCGGCGCAACCATAGTCAGACTCATCAGAAAACAGGTCACTACTCCATAAGCAACTTGTGAGGGGTCGATGAAGACGTTAAACTAATACCTTGAGTTTGAAGCAACTTTTTTCAAACTGAAAAAACTTGGGTGTTTTGATGAAAGGAGAAGCTAGATACATGTCAACCCAAATTTGAATTTCACGTCCAAATTTGAATTTTGTTTTTCGGCCAACCCAAGAAAATTCTTCTTTCCAAAAATCTTGAAGTATAATATGCAACGTTATTATGACAACAAGAGGGCCAACTAAGCAACCGACCAAAAAAAGGAATTTCAGTATTGCGTGGTTATTTCCTTCAGTTTCCAGTTTTCATAACTTTTGATGCAAGAAGACTTCTTTATGTCTTTGTTACATAAAACACCAAGGGCACGATATTTGATTCGTCTGTGTCCGTTGTCAACCAGTTCAGTTAGGACAGTTGATCAAGTAGGAAAAATCTTCGTCAGGTTGAACCTACTTTTCAAAAGTGTCGTTTTGAAGAAAAAAATTATTTTCGAATTTCAAAGTAAAAAAAAAGCATTAAAGCTCTTTGAATTTCGAGAACAGTTTTTGATTCGCATTTTTTTTGATAAAATTGACAAGTTTCAGAAATCTGATGAATCAATAGGTAAGGCTTTTATTCCGCGGGTAAAGTTGAAAAGTAAAAGTTTTTTTATTCACTTTCGTAATAAGATACCGAACTTTGTCCAAGTTTTAGTAGATGAATTGAACTCAATTTAATTTGAACTCAAATGAAGCCAATAGACGTTGGACAAAATTCAACGAACTCAAGAAAACCGAAGCAAAAATTCAGACTTAACTTTTTTAAACTCAGTTTTTGAACTTATTGACAATTTTTAGATATAATTATCACAATTTGAGACAACTGAACCAATAGGTAACTTTATTTTTATTCCGCTGGGAATTCTGGAAAACAAAATCCCCTTTCGAAAATAGAAGTTGCTCCTTTTTTTGACCGTTAAACTTTTGCAGTTCGATAGTGGAATTTGCCTTGCTTGACAAAAAAAATGAACTGAACTTAAAAAGAAACCAAAGGTCAAACGAATCGACCACGTTTGGTGATTTTTTTTCAATCACGTTTTTTCGCGCCATTTACTCTTGCGTAACCGGGGAGCGAAATTAGCCTTCCGTTTGACAAACGAACTTGAGTTGAACCCAAAAAACGTATATATACCTACTGGCTGCATCAATGTAATTTCTGTAGTTATTAGAGCATATTTTAAGACTTCCTGAAAAAAAATCATCACGACCTATATAAAAGTCTTCACTACGTTCACACCGAATCTTGAAAACATGGGCAAACGACTTAACTCATAAAATATAAAATATTTTTCCCAAAAAAATTACCTAGTTCAGTGTCGTCAAATACATTCAGGCCCTCCTCTAGTAGCCTTAGGGTAGCTTTTTCTGATCCAGTAAGCGATTTGGTAGTGCCTGGTAAGCCAGTCTCCGTGTCTGTATCAGAATCCGAATGGAAAGAACTCTGAAAACGAAATAAATCTTTAAACGTTTTAGCTGATTATATCAATGAGACCTCCATGAAAACTTGCCAAGATAACTAACATACGTAGGTTACGATACATAATCTCTTGAAACATTCCTAGTGTTAGTTTTGGATCTCGTTAATAATTTCTGGCACTATGGCACCAAGTAAAAACTTTCCACCTCTACACAGCACTGATTCAAGGTTAAAGCATAAGCAAAGTTTGTACCTTGAAACAAACTTTCAATAGAATTCTACGTTTTAGTTTATTTTACAATTGGGTTAAAGTTTGGACTGATTTTTACCTCCAGATATTTTTCAACTTCGTCTTGAGATGCAGTGCCTATCATTTTTGCCGAAGTTTTGACATCGTAACTCCCTTCGGCTGATGAGAGACGGTATATAAAGCTTTGTTTCTGTACTCCAATCTGCGCATCGAGTTCTGCAGCAGGACTTGAGCTTGAAATTAGCCTCTCATTTCCAATTTTTCCGTTTTGCCCATTTTTGTTTTCGTCAACTTGTATAAGATTATACTTGTGGGATTGATTTGATGAACTGGGTTCGTTAGCTTTGCCACTTGGTTCAGATTTGATCTGCTTTGTCTTGGTTGGGCTGCTTTTCCTACTTGCAGGGTTACCTGAGGTCGTTGGTTGCTGTGTGTTCTGCTTATGACTTGGACTGCTTTGCTTTTGCTGTGTCTTAGTGTGTTCCGCGAGTTGTTGATTTATAGCTTTTGGGCGCCTAATTGTTTCGAAGTTCACTGGAAACAAAAAAGAGCATTTTTAACAATGATCATAAAATTATAATGATTTCGTTGAAAACAATCACGACAAACAGTTCTGATGAAAAACATGATTGAATCAAGTTTTACTGAGTTCCACAAAAGAAAAAAATGTTCTGCGCAAAGAAATGAACAGCTATTAAGTTTGTCTTTTTTCCCGATGATAAAAGGTCTGAATCTTCGAGCACGAAACATCGAATTGAGAGCACTTGGAAACTTTCCTCAAAACATTCCATGAATCGCTTCTATTGAATCAATGAAAAATTTAAGCGGTGATTTGAATATTGACAATCAAAACAAATCTTGTTGCTCAAAACAACCTAAATACTGTTAAGTTGGATGGATGCACGTCGTGTTACAAAACCATGTCCTGATCTATATGCAATAACTCTGCCTTTGCACCAGTAAAATTTTCAGAGAACCACAAACTGTCTGATTATTACGCAATTGAATGGTATTTCCGTTCTAACCAAAATCATGTGATAAAAACCCGGTAATCGTGACATAGCAATTATAAAATCATGTCTAGGCGATAAATATAAGTTTTAACTAATAATCAGGACCAGGATATCTTAGACGAGTTTATACTTACACAAAGAGACAAAGCGGAGCTTCGCCACACTTGCGATACAACGCAAGCATAGCATTGCAAGCTGGCGAACAAAACAACAGGGAAAAAAAAGAAAAATATCTTCAAAAATTTAATACGTGTCGACTGACGTTCAACTTCAGCAAAACAGTCGCAAGAGAAAATCACCAGCGTTAAACAAGCATTTAGTGCAATCTACAGAGCGGCCACTAAGAGACTGAAAAACTTGCTCAGACAACAATTCAGCCGAAAGTGAACGAAAATTCTAATTCTAGGAAAACAACATTGTCATTAAAACTTTAAGCTATTAAGTTAAAACGCTCGGACGTTTTTACACCTCGCCCTTTAGGTATATATATGATGCAACATAAGGCGACTAAGCTAACTTCAGCTATGCCAAAACCATTTAAGCGAAAAAAGAACGTAATGAATATCAGAGATTTGTAAACAAACTTACAAGTAGAAAAATTATAATAAAAAATGTTTAAATCAGAAGAAAAAAATCCAAACTTTAGAAACTAAACCAACAAAAAAAAACAGCCAAACAATGTTCCGACTATTAAAAACTGCCCAGAATAAAATTCAAATAAATACATATCGTAAAAAGGTACGGCCGGGATTTGAACCAAAGACCTACGGACCCCAAGACACTCGCGCGCGAACATGTGAAAAGGGGCCTCGGACGTAATGAGGTGCCACGATAGAAAAAAAAACACTGAAAATTTCAAAAAGCATAAGTCAAAAAACTTTGTAATTCAAATTTAAAAAACGAGCTGCAAGTTTAATTCACTAGCCGCATAAACAATTTGAAAAAAAAAATCGCTTACACTCGTTTAATTGACAAAGAAAAAAAATATTGACACTTGCGAAGGGGAACTTGAACTCAAAATGAATATGAAACACGCTATCAACTAACTAAGCGACTCTTTTAAATTAATTATTAAACTCAAAAGGAAAAAAATTGCTAACGTTTCATGTTCCTTTTTATGAAATTTAAACAGCAGACAGAGATAAAGACAAAAACAGAGTTTTACGAACCAGTCACACTTCAGCTAACTTTTCCTGTTTCAGAAAGAAAAGTTACAAATGGGATGAAAGGGTCTTGAACACAATTAAAAACTTAAAACCACAGAGGGTAAGCGGAGCTTCGCAACACTTGCGCTACAACAAAAAAAATGCATTAGAAGAAAGTGAAAAAAAAAGAGGCAGAAGTCAAAAAAACTTTCAGTCAATCAGTTGACAAATTACTTGAAAAACCACACCTACAGAAGTTTCAAGTTTGTATTTGATGTTGTTTATAAACAGCTTTAAAAAGCATTGGGAATCATTTACAAACTACAGACCGACTTCCAATTTTAGTTAGAACAGCTTAAATAAGAAAAATAACGATGCTTTGGAGAAAGTCCATGCGTTGGACCGTAGGCCGACAAAAAATAAGCAGACAAACGATAGTCCGACTATTGAAGTTTTCCAAAAATACTCCTATACATTAAATAAAAAGGTCCGACCAGGACTGGAACCCTAGCCCTTATTTTCCAAAGGTGCGCGCTTTACCTCTGGACCAAATGGGAAGGGGCCTGAAAGGTGTCGATGTTCCTTAATAAAGTAATGTACAGTGCTGATTTAAGTTATCCGGACAAAACGAACAAAAAAACTTGTATTTTCAAAGGAATTTTTCTCAAATTGGGTTAAGATTGGGCAAAAATGAAGAGAACAAAAGTTGCTAAGAATTTCATCAGAATTAATAGGGTGCATTTTTTCCCTAAAAATCTCAACCAAAACTTTACCCCAAAAATGGGTCATTTTGGCTTTTTTCAATTGATCAAAAATTACGCAGAAACTACTTTGTTATTTGATAAGAAAATTATATCACAAGAAGCCCCTTAAGCAGCCCAAAAAATTTTAAGGAAAGTTTAATCTCCAAAAACCAGTATAAGAGAAAAAAATTTTACTTGATAGTCATTAAATGTGAATTTACTAGATAAAACCCAGCATCTCTGTTTGAAAACAAATTTTAAACAATTTTCGCAAATTTTGTTACGCTGTGTATGAGGCATCTTGTGATATAATTTTCTTATCAATTAACAAAGTAGTTTCAGCGGAATTTTTGATTAACTGAAAAAAGCCAAAATGACCCATTTTTGGGGTAAAATTTTGGTTGAGAATTTCGGAGAAAAAGTAATACCATATTAATTCTAATGAAATTCTAAGCAACTTTTGTTCTATTCACTTTTTGTCTAATTTTAACCCAATTTGAGAAAAATGTGTTTGAAAACTCAAGTTTTGTTCGTTTTGTCCGGATACATTAAATCAGCACTGTATACATACATACAAAAATACATGATGGAAAAGAGACCAACTTCCATACGTGATTCGAACCCGAGACCTGTAAGAAAAGTTGTTGACGGGGAAAAGTCTAGTTCCCGATTACAACAAGTCACTTGCTCTCACAGTGAAATCACAGATCTGTTTTTGAGTTTCTCTTAGAAAACAATTTCAGAAAGAAAGCTTCAGAAATCACAAGTCCAAAACAACTTTTCGGGAACAAGACAAAAAACATCTTATCTTCCTTCGCTACATTTTTCGTGCAAGCAAGCAAGAACGTCAAGTTGTTTGATTTAATTTTTAAAATGATTTGCTTTAAACCTGATGAAGGGAAAATGTCCGTCCAAAAACAGACTTTTTGGGACTTTGCGATAGTGTCAGTAATTCAGTGGCAAGTTCATTAGTGTCAGTTATTTTGCACCCCGAAATAAATTATTGGAACTGTACGTACTGAAAGTGGGTTTGGGACCTATGTGTTTAGTTTGGGGCTGAGAACTCGGCAGTCCGACTGCCTCTGGGTTGAAAGAGTCCTTGACAACTAGATTCCACTCACTAGCCGAGACAGTGTTGAGGGAAAGTGTCGAGAGGTACTTGTCATGAATACCCATCCCTCCCCCTAATGTTAGCGTGGAGACACCTTTAGAAAGCTTGGTTGAACGGGCCCCCATCGCATGCAGAAATCTGAAACAATTAATATACTACTGAAATCTGAAACCAACTGATTTCCGGCTTATTCTTCCAAATTTTGAATACTGAATTATGATTGGTTTACAAAGGATTCACGCATTCGGCCCTGCTGTTATGTTGACTTCGCCGACCTAGCAGAAATAAATTATAACCCTCAAGCGTATATTGAACTTTAAAATTAGAGAATGAAAATTGGTGATCGAACCATTTATTTGCATTTGCTTGTTGACGACCCCAGACCGATTGCAGTCTATTTTAAGGCGCAGAAAGGTGATTTCTAACGACTGAACATGAAAAACAATCCCTGCGGTTCGTAAGATCAGAAGTACTTTCAATACAATCATCAAATGGGAAAAAGTTAGGCACGAATATTCATTAGTTTGACCTCAGCTACGAATTCAACGGTATCATCTGATAACCACCCAAGATAAAATATCAATGTTAGCAAACAAAATAATCAATTACGCAATCAGATTCACATTTTCGAGCATAACTAACAGCTACACATAAATCACTTTTTGAACAAAAGTTGAATAATATTGGGGGCAAACAAAAAATTCCGAAAGCGTAATTCCGAACCATCATAATCGATGTAAATTTTCTCAGAATCAAGTGTAGAGCATGTTACAGAAAAAGCACCAGCATAAATCAAGGTAGAACAACGACTTTTTTTTCAAGACAGTTTATCCACGAGGAAAAGGACCAAAATACGAGCTATTTAGCTCTTTCCAGAGATCGGCTGGTTAGGACATAGGTTCACAGTTTTCTTGGTTAATTCTCTGGGCTGGATAATGTTCCTCGCCCTCAAGCGGCTAGCATGGATCATGGTGGGTCTCGAAGGTTTCGATTCAGAGGCGGATGCATAGCCTTTTCACCACCGCGCCGCAAAACTTGAAAAGCTAAAAAACTCAAAAGCTCATCAAAAGACGCAATATGAGAACAATAAGCCGATAAAGCATCAGCCGAATTAATAGTGAAAAACGAAAACAAACGAGCTAAATAAAATTAGACCAAATCGGAGTTCGCAAGTTCCAAAACTAATGTTGAAAAAAAATTGAAGAACCAGATTTTTCAATACAAAAGATGCTAAGAACATCTCAATTGATTTTCGACGGTACCGGCACTCAGAAAGCTCGAATCATAGCAAACTGACAGTTGGAAAAGAGTAATGAACGCAAGGAAACTGACAGAAAAAAATAGATGGCCATAAAGCTCTTTGAATTTGGAGAACAATTTATGATGGACACTTTTTTGTTAAAATTAACCTAATTTGAGAAAACTGGATCAAAGGTAAAACTTTTATTTCGCTGAGAAATCTGATAATTAATTTCCATTTTCGAAATAAGTCGATCACGTTTTTCGTGACCTTTACAATTTGCTGTTCGATAGTGGAGTTTGCTTTCCTTTTAACAATATACATGCACTGAACTTAAGAAGAAATCACAAGTCAAACCGCGAAAAATCAAAGTTGAGCATGAACAAATTTCAAGACTTTTCCAAAAAAAATAAGCAAGACCTTTATAAGAGTACTCATTACGTTCATTACTCTTCATGAGAAAATGATTCAGCAATCTTGTTAGACAAGTTGTTTACCTGCAAAAATACTTAATGCAATTTGCTAACGTTTGCTAACCTAACTGCAAGCTTACAACTAAATGTCTGGCAACACCCAGAATCAATTGCCGGACCTGCAGATTACAAAAACTCTAATTAACGAGGCCTTGTTTATCACATTTACTTGAAAAATATCGGTAGAAATGAACGTATTCTAATTTTCAAAAATTAGACTTCATCATTTAAAAAACATTGCGACATAAGCTCGACTAGGTTAAATAGCAAAAAGTAGATAGTTCATAAAGTAGAAAAAATTATATTAATTAATCAGAATATATGAAAGAAGCAAACGTACGACATGAATATTTATTATTTTTGTATACGTTTGTTTTTCTTACCTCGATTTTGATTGTTTAATATTTGTTTGAGTGGTTAGTATTTGTCTTCTTTTTGACAAAAACGAAATACAGCGTGCCTAATAGTTGACAGCACTCCACTCGGCTAATATATAATGCAAAAAAAATGCGCCAATTATATAGGGGGAAAAATAGTTATATGGTTCAACTTATGACAAGATTTGCTTGTGATTACACGATCTGTCTCGGTATAATTCACTAATCATCGCAGCTAAGTCGTCAAAAAGCGGCCAGGGACATTCTATAAAACTGCGGATAAATTAAAACTAAATGCTTCCCTTTTCAAATATTGAAATCAAGACAAGATGACATTCTTCAGGATAGAATCATACCGAACCGTTGAACTACAATTCAAAGTAAATCAGTCAACTGTAATAATTTCAATTGAACTGTACAAACTTAGGATGAGTGAGCATTATTATCTAGGCATTCAAATTTAGAAATATAATTGTTTATTCTAATTTATTCGCATCTAACTACTTTCTTCTCTTTCTTTACTTTCTTCTCTTTCTTTACTTTCTTCAGTTTTTTCGGTCTTGTTTATGATCTGGAGGAGCAATCTGCAATGTTCGTGTAGATCGGACCCTGCAGTTGCGTCCTTGTACACCTTGTGGAGTATTTCTTCACCCCCTTCTCCCAATAGCATGCCCACGTACTTGTCAGGATAAACTGAAACAAACCTCATTTTCTAGCAACCATCATTTGTTATATTTGAAATATATTTGTTAATAATTTCAACTATTACACACTTGGGCGATTTAACAATTAAGATATTCAAATTAAACTATTCTTTTTCTCGACAACTAGAAACATTTTACCCCTTGTGGGGTAGTGAGATATGGTGTTTTCTTGGATAGTGAATCTGGCCTGAAAAAAAAACGATTGCCCATATCCTTTTAATTTGAGAAAAAAAATTCTGAATTGATTTAAAATTTCAAGAACATAGCCAACAGACAGTTGGAAAAGAGCCAATGAACGCAATGATACAGAAAATAATGACTGGTTTTTTTCATTGATCAAACTTTTCTCGCTGATCAAACGACGCAATATAAACTTAACCAATAAAAAAGTAGAAACCTTGTAAGCCATACAGAGCGAAAAAAGAAATAAAGAAAAATTAAAACAACTTCAAAAGGGAGTTGATAAACTTAAAACCAAAATAGGTTACACCACTATATATGTAGTGTATACAAGGTCGTATACAAAATTCATTAAATAAACCGACAGAGCTTAAGTCAACGACAATGAGCAATCGAATTCAATCAATGAACAGTCGATTCTAATTTTCTCGCTTACGCTTTCAACCAACACAAAAAGTTGAAACTTTAAAAATGACGTCTGAATTTATTTCAAAGTTTGAAACGGTAAAAGATTCCCTTGATTCTACAACAAAGGACTTATTTGAAAGCCTCGTTATCTGCCTGCAGGGAAAAGACTCTGAAGTTAGGAACCTATCAAATCGTGTGAATTATCTTGAAGTTAAAGTTAACGAATTGGAGAGATATTCGTCTAAAGACTGCGTTATAATTCAAAACTTACCAATGCTTCATGGAAACATTATTCGGGATGTACTGGATTTATTCAACAATATTTTGGGACTTGATGTATCGGATTACGACTTGAAGACGTGTCATCCCCTGGGTATCGTGAGTAGGAACCAGAAAAAGTCTGTGATTGTAAAATTTGTGTATTTTGAGACAAAAAACAGAGTTAACGGGAGGAAAAATTTTTTGAAAAATGTATTAAGCCCGGTGAATAAAAAGAACCTGTATATATTACGGAACGGCTGACAAAACGTGACTCTGATTTATTCGACTACTCTAGAGGGCTTGGAATGAATACTATGACGTATAACTGTATCCCCCAAGTTCTTATTGCAAATGACAATGGTGGTTTCCGCAGACATAATCTTATAGATGAAAAAGATGCTGATGAAATATTCGCGCGAAAAAATCTTTTGCTTCTAAAATCGAATGCTCGGGGAATCAATTCTACTGTAAGACCTCAATTTAATATGACAAAATCTGGACGAAACACTCTTCTTGGAAAAACTCGCGATGATTCTCTGAAAAGAGGTCGACAAATATCACCAGATCTGGACAATAAACAACTTATGACTGAACTTGCTCAATATACATCTGATCCAGTTGGGTTATTCAATTACGTTTAAACTTTACAAAGGGACTCTCCTGATGCTAAACAAGTCTACCATGGGAATAAAAATGACGTCATGGAAACTATGCATAGTGTTGCGTTACCAAGCGTTGACACTATATCAAACTAATCCACTTTAGTTTCTTTTGATTTGCCGTATTCTGGTTTCACGGTTAACCTAGTAGCACTCGAAATAGAAGAGAAAATGGTAAAAGAAAACGTATTTTTTATGAATGTTCGATCATTGCGGAGCCATTCTGACCAACGTTCGTTACTTGTTGCTTCACTTATTGAAGTGCCAATGATTTTAGCGCTTTGTGAGACATGGCTTACAGACAATGACCCAACTATTCTCTACAGTTCTGACGGCTTTTCAAAAATTGAAAATGTAAACAGAAAAAATAAGAAAGGAGGGGGATTAGCTTTTTTTGCGCGGAAAAGTTTTGATTTCAAAACACGAGTTTTTGATAATCCACTGGAGCACTTTGTAATTAGCATTATTGACAACAGCGCAATTTTTGGCTAAATTTTGATATGCTGCTGAATGAACTCAAATCGTTGAAAGGAGAGCTACGCATCATGGGAGATTTTAACATTTACATACTTACTTCAGGAGCAACTAGTCTACAAAAAACCTATCGTGATTTATTAGCTGATTTTGACCTGGAAGTGCAAAATAGTGAAGCACCAAGAGTAACTTTAAACAGTAAAACATGTATCGATCATATCATTTCACCAACAAAGGTTGAAGTTAATACAATTTGTTGCAATGTCAGTGACCATTATGCGCTTCTGACTAAGGTCGAAATTAACAGCAAACAAACCGTAACAGACCAGCAAAAGCTACAATTGCGAAATATTGAGAAATTGAAAAATTCGAATAAAATTGTGAATTTTCTAATTTTATTACAGCACAAACTGCAGAAACTTCCTTTGTTCAGTTCAACGTGCAATGAAAATCTATAAAAAAAAATCTGAAATTATGTTTGATACTTTCGATGTTTTTGCTCCATTACACTATCGTGTCATTAAAAAATCGTCTGGCGTGAATGGATGTTTGAAAAACTTATGCCGATATTGCGATTACTTACATAAAAAAATGGTAGAGATCCCCAGTCAACAAAATCAGTTAAATTACAAAAAAATACGGAACGAAGTGAAAAAAAAAGGTCAGGGAAAGTAAAAGACAATACTTCGATAAAAATTTTTCTAAATGTAATGATCGCAAACAAATGTTTCAAATTTTTAACACTTTTTGCGGAAGAAAGGAAAGGATCAGATCAAATTGACATCAGACGAACTTAATGATTTTTTTGTTAACATTGGCTCAAAATTAGCAAATATATGTGAGGTTAAATCATTGCCTCGTATAAGTCGAGTCTTAAATGGTTGCATTTTCCGACCTGCTGATGTTAATGAAATTGAGAACATTAAACTTGCTCTTAAAAACAAGAAAACATATGGTCATGATGGTTTCAGCAATGAGATGATTAAGTTGTGCTCACTAGTCATCAGTCCTTATTTGGTTCAATGCTTCAACACTTGTATAGACGGAGGCGTATTTCCAGAATTTTTAAAAATTGCTTAAGTTATTCCTCTGCATAAGTCTGGTTCTAAAAAGGATGCAAATAATTATCGTCCCATAAGTCTTCTAACTTCATTTAGCAAAATTTTTGAAAAAATGATTTTTAATAGAATGATCTGTTTCATTGAAAATTATGGATTACTTGCAAAACAACAGTATGGTTTTCGTAAAAAACGTTCTTGCGTACATGCTATTATTAAAATAACAGATTTCATGCGTAAAACTGTTGACAAAAAATGTTATGGTTTAGCATTGTATGTTGATTTTAAAAAATCGTTTGATACAGTTGAGCATGCTATACTCCTAGATAAATTAGATCGATTGGGTTTTCGAGGAAAATTTCATTTACTTTTGAAAGATTATCTCTCCAAAAGGTATCAATATGTTGAAACAAACGGAAAACAATCCAAAATGCTTGAAATTAAATGTGGCGTGCCCCAAGGCTCAATACTTGGACCTCTCCTTTTTCTTTTATATATTAATGATTTTCCTGATTTTCTTAGAACTAGTGAGGTGGCCCTTTTCGCAGATGACACAACAATTTCAAATTCGTCAAAAAATTCAAATTTTGCCGAACAGTTTTGTGATGATGTAAAGCGTATAGATGACTGGTGTGCCAACAATAAATGAACTGTGCATCCGTCGAAGTGTAAACTTCAGCAATTTGGTAAAAAGCATATTGAATTGAGAGAGATCAAATTAGGTGGTAAAAAATTGGACTATACGACCAACTTCAAATATCTTGGAGTCTTGCTTGACTGTGAACTGAACTTCAGTGATCAAATTGAAAGTGTGTGTACTAAGCTAAGGAAGTTTAACGGAATCATGTACCGTGCACGAACCTGTCTTTCTAAATATCATCTTTTACGTTTCTATTCTGCTTATATCATTCCAATTATGTCTTACGGACTCATAGCATATGGGTGTGGCGCAAAAAGTAATATGGATAAAAATTATTTAGTACAGAAAAAGATTTTGAGGACTATATTTTTAAACGTAAATACGAACATATTACAAACGTGTTCATCGAATATAATATTCACACCGTTTTTGATTTATTTTTTATTCAGATTTTTCACGAAACCTTTCGACAGCTAAGAAATGAGCCACCTTTGAAATTCTTGATTAGAGATAAAACTTCAACCATGAAAACGCGATCTAAATCTAAGGGTTTGTTAATTTTGCCAGCTCTTAGGACTACGAAAATGAAAAATTCTGTTTCTTTGAAAGTCATCAATGCGTATAATTTTTTGATTGACAACAAACTAATCCCAAATAATCTTAACGTAATGACTGAAGTTGGGTTCAAGTCTTTCTCTAAAAAATTCAGTAGGCTTTACATAATAGACAATGAAAGTATGTTTTCGCTGTTTAACCATCGGTAACTCCTAATTTCAGTGCCCTACCGTTTGTTTCTAGGTAACCTAAAGGGATGCTACTCGAAAGGTTGAATTACCTGTATAGCAGTCCTGATGTAGATTTATTTAACCTGTTTGATCAAAATGATGTGTGTCAAAATTTTATCTGCATCAAACTCAATTCAATGAAGCTGAAAAACCATTACTAACCATAACTTGGGTCAATGGAAAATATATTTTTATTCCGCTGCAATTTCTTAAAATTAAAAATTTCGTGGCCTTTACAATTTTGCTATTTGATAGTGGATTTGACCTTCCTTTTAACAAATCAAAAAGAAAATCAATAAAAGCCAAAGTGCGAAAATCAAACTTGAGCGTGATCAAATTTTCAATTTTGAGACAATCCTAAAAAAACATCATCACGACCTGTATACGGGTATTCAATACGTTCATTGAAACTGAATAATATCAAAATTCTATTATTATACATACTAGGGTTAGAAATCTAAATCTAGCATTTACCAGTAGCTAGCAGCATTATTAACCAGTAGAGTTATGGGGAAATTGAGCATGTCAGCAGCACAAATAATTCAATTGGTTTTGTTTCGCAACTTTTGACTTGGAAACAGCCAATATTGCAATTTGATTAGCAAGCGTAGTTTATTAACGAAATGCTCCACTTTTCATGCTACTTCCTCACCTGTGCACAAGTTGAATAACGCCCACACCGCCCAAAACTGTGACTCAGTTTCCAACGCAACCGACTTTGTAGGATCCAGTAGTCTCAGAATCGGCAGAAATGACCTGTAGTTTATATTCCTCTCGCCCCTGAAGTTCCACGTCATTATGGCCGAGTGCATGTTTTGTTTGATTTGGGCCCGACTAGGAGACTCGACAGTCCAAATTGCCTCCCCGTCTGAGAGGATATGGGCTAATATGCCACATGCATTGTAGCTGATCTCCAGGTCCGCGTGACTCAATGGGTCAGTACTCTGATCCATCGACGCCACTGCCAAACAAATTTCATAAACGGCACTTTTTTATTAGAAACGTCCCATGAATAAAAATTGACCATTATATGTATTCCGAATTTATATTTTTCATTAAATAGTTTTAGGCTTTAGTTCTTGTTTTTCTAAATGGAAGCTAAACTTCAGGGATAAAAACGCCAATACACAGTCGGAAAAGAGTGCATGAACTCAAAGCTAAAGAAACTTTTTGATTTTTTTTAACTTTTCCAATTCGGAGAAAAAAAAACAAATCACGTTACAGCTCTTTGAATTGCAAAAGTATTTTAGGACTTTTCTATACACCTAACTCAATTAGCCTAACCCGCTGGGAATTCTGAAAACGAGAGTACTTTTTCAGACTGTCCATCCACGTTTTTTGTGTTTTTGCAGTTTTTGTTATCGAAGGGAATTTTTTTTTATTTTTCAATCAACACGGCCAAGTTTACACGAATGTTAAAACAACCGCATTTCTGTGAGAAGTAATATTTTTTCTTATTTTATCATTTTTTTCATATATTCATAAGACCAAAACAGGCAACCTGGTCGAAGAAGCTCTGAAAACACGTCCAGACACTCTGACGTCAGCAAACTCTGCCGGAGTGTTTTGACCTCTGCCACATTGCCCAGACAACCCAGCATGTTCCGAATCATATCCTGGTGATCTTTGAAGAGACTGTGGCACTGTAGAAACATGAAGACGCCGCCTAGTTCAATGAAGCGACTACAGTTCACTTCTGTTTCGTCTGTCAGGTTCCACAAACTGCTCCACGCGTGGTCAATTAACTCATCGTGTCTCGCTTCGTTCACTCGTTTTGATATTGCATTCACCAGCACCTGCACCAAATAGCATGCACATTTTTTCAAACTTACATAATACAGATTGGACTAGGAAACTTTCATCTTGCAGAAAATTTCAACTACGACTAAACGATTTGATAATAGAAGCCGAAAAAACTCAAATAATTTAGCTGCAATTTTGCGCTGAATTCTTCAAACACTTTGCTGCGTCCAAAAACGATGTCAAAATATTACGTACTTAACAATGAAAATAAGACACAGAGGTGGTGAAACAGAGCTTCGCTACACTTGCCATGCAATAAACTCATCACGCGACAAAACAAGGAATGAAAAAAGCCAAAGTCATAAAAAATTCGGAAAATTATGCTGGAAAAGCTTACTTGAAAATAACTTGCTGAAAGTTGAGAAATTACAGCAACAAAAACTTCATCTTTGTATCAGATCAAGTTTAAAAATAGACCTATAAAAATGGAAAGAATTTACCGTTCGGCAACAAAGGCGGCAAACTTTGGGTCGAACCTGATGAACCGAAAACAAAACTATTGTCACAAAAAACTTCATTTAACTTAAAAGTTTTTACGACCCATCCAAACTGAAACACATAATCCCGAACGGATGTAATTTGCCCTCGAAATTACGCAAAATAAGATGATTAAGTCGATTTAATATAAACTGGAACTGTTTGAATATTTATGAAAAAAACGAAAATGAAAAAAATTTCAGTTAGAGTGAAAACAGTTTAAATTGGAACAAAATGGCGTTCAAAGTGGCAGATAAAGAATGCCGTTTAAAAAATACGGAAATTGAATCGACAGAAACGACAATTCTCGAAAAGACATTTATAACGTGAAATGTGCTTGAATTAATTGCTCGCTAGGTGATATATTGTACTTTTATTTGAACTTCCATGAAATTGAGCATGCCAGATAAAAGATCCTCTAGAAATGATGCTCTGGAAATGAAGATCCTGTGGACAAAGTCATTAACGGGAAAAAAGTATAGTACCCGATTGCAATACCCTTGCTTATCGCAAGGGTAAAAACATTTTTGTACCGGAACTGAGACCCGACCATGAGCCTCGCGTCTTCGCATCTGCACCACAGTCAATACAATATAAAAACACTAGCCGGAAATAAAGCAGCTATCGATGCTATTTCATTGTCGATGTTACGCATCGAAGCAAAAGCGCCACAAAGAGCCTATTCATTTCCGAGTTAGGTTGGAAAAAAAGTAGAGATAGTAAAACGACACTACACTTGCTAGTATAAACACAGAGGCTGAACAGAGCTTCGCGCCTTTCGCTCGCGATGTTACAAAATGGCATTTCAAACTACCAAACAGACAAATTGTCTCGAAGGATGTTTTAATTGCGGGTATAAGCTTTCGCTTTTCCGAAAAAAAATGATTTCCTCAAAGCTCTTGGAATTTCTACATTAACTTATGATTGACCTTTTTTGATAAAACTAACCCAATCCGAGATTCGAATTTCGAAACCCAGAATTTGATCACGTTTTTTTACCTTTACACCAAACATCAAAAACATTATAGTATTTGAAGGACTGGGAATCTTTGCTATCAACAAAAACCTATCAAACAAAAGGTTATCAACAAAAACCTATGAAACTATTATTTCAAGAACACATCAGAAACCTCAAAAACATCAAAAGTCGACTTTTATCGGCCAGGCGAAAAACATCGACATTTTGGTCGTTCCAAACTAAAAAATACGGAGAAACTTAAAAATTTCAACTTACTGAAAAGCAGGTTTTCAAATGATTCTGCACAAAAATTGTTAACCCGAAAGTTATCTTATTAATTCCAGTTTGATAACGCTTTCTAATCGCAAAGGTAACCATTGAAGCCTTTTCAAAAAACTAGTGTACCCTCCGCAGCACAGCTGCTTCAACAAACACAGATCTTGCATATGTACTACAGCATAACGCAAAATGAAATTGATAGAGAGTAATGGTGAAAACATATATGAAAACTTTTGGTGGAAAGTTTAACCTCCTTCTACTCAACTTTTCAGAACTGTTTTTTTTTTCTAATTTAAATAGTAGACTTGCCTTAAATTTCTGAATATTTCAATTAGTTGGATCGATTTTGGATCGTCAAGTTGATATTGCCTAGGAGTAACATACAATTACCCCGCCATAGGATGGCGATTTAAATCTTTTGAAATATGAAAACGAGTAGCTTTAAAACTTTTGAAATATGAAAACGTCACATCTCGGAATTTGAGCAATTGAGCAACCATAAGAAAATGAGCAACCATAAGTATGAAGTCCACATTTGAAACTGCTACCACGAAAGCTAATTAATATTTTGAAAATTGTGAAAAAATGAAAGACTCGACGTATCTCGGCAACTAAAATGCGTTTAGCAAACTAAAAGCATTGCAAACAAAAAGCATAAGAGCATGCACAACTGGGGACAAAATTTATAAACCCTGAGAATACCCTAACGACAATTCCCAGCAAGGCGAAAGTTAACAAACCTTCTCAAAAAGAAAGATTGCGAGCGAAGAAACACCAAGAAAAAGAGAGAAAAGCTAAAACCAAAAAGAACAAGCCGTCCTTGAAACAAAGAAAACGAAGACAAAAGAATCAGCAAAAATAAAGTTAAATCTTATATTTGTGCCTCCAAAAGTCTTAACTGACTAGGAGGGTCTTTTAGAGGGTTTAAATAAGTCTGCGATTGTTGCACTTTGTGCCTTTGAACCTTATTGGTTAGGAGGGGCATTGTCAGCAACAAAATAAAACAAGAATTTGTGCCTTCAAAAATCTTAATTGATTAGGAGGGGCATTTTCAAGTTTTTCAAACGAACTTTGAGTCTCTAAACCGTATAGGTTCGGCGGGGCATTGTTGGTTAGTCGCTATGGCTGGGAGAACTCGTAATCAATTCACAAAATTCCCTTGTGTAGAATGAGAGTGTAAAGATGGTTCACTATCTTGATTCAAATGTGGCACTTGGTTTTATGCAAACAACTGTTCTGGCGTTGCATCAAACATGTTAGCATTTATACTCAAAATACCGGGTCTAATATGGTTGTGCAAAAACTGTGTTGACGATGGCAAGAGATGTCTCAAAGAAGGAAGTGAAACCTTAAGATTACTCCCAGAAATTGGAAAGAAATTGAATGATATAGAGGCGAAATTGATTGACAGCAAGATAACTTCAGCCAACCTAAATGCCATGCTGAAAAAAGAAATCGAAGCTAAGTTCGAGCTTTTTGAAAGTAAATTTGAGTCGAAAATGAACGCTGTCCTGCATATCAAGGAAAATTACCTTCAGAATTAAAAACCAATTGGGCAAAAAATAACGAAATCAAGCCGCAAAAATTGAAAGTGATAATGCAGGAGACCCTAGCTCAACAAGAGGAAAGAGTAGACCAAGAATACAGAGAGAACAACCTAATACTCTACGAGTTCAGGAGAGTACCATGAGCTCGTCTGAAGATAGAATAGATGAAGACATCAGCTTTTTTGACGACTTCTGAGTGAATGGACTTCAGATACCAGAGAGATTAAAAGTGAAGAAAGCGATAAGATCAGGACCTGTAAGAGATTTCCGAAATCTCAATGCTCAGCGCCCTTTGAAAATTGTATAAGAAGACAAGCAAGAAAAAATTAAGGCGTTTCGGAAACTGCGAAATCTTCCCTTAGCTGAAGAGAAGCACAAATGCATAAGTGTTTCACACGACTACTCAAAAGAGACCCGAGCACTTATAAAAAAGAAACTTTCAGAGGCAAAGGAGAGAGATGGGGTGGATTCTGCAAAACTTGTATACTCTGTTCGTAGAACGGCAAATGAATTTCGTGTGAATAGAAAGCGAAAAGGAAACAACCAAACAGCTTCAAGTGAAGATCGCTGACTAGGGTGAAACTACAAAATCCTTCTCTATAATGTGCGAAGTCTTTAAATCAGACGCCTTGAGCTGAAAAACCTAATTGATCGAGAAAAGTATGATATTGTTCTTCTTACAGAAACATGGCTAACCACCGATATTAACAATGGCGAATTATTTCTTGAGAACTTCAGTGTCTATAGAGCAGACAGAGAAATGCAAAGGTTAGGAATATCAAAGCATGGAGGCGTATTTATTGCAGTTTCAAACAATGTGGATCATGAGCCAATGAATTCTGCTCACCTGCATGTTAAAGACTCTTTTGTAGTGGACAAAATTAACGCCGCGCAACCAATCTACCTTGGAGTCTTTTATAACCGACCAGCCGGCAGTCCTTTTAGGCTTCCCATTAGTTCAATCTGTGAAATGATGGAATTTTTGGAAGATATTATTCCACGGAAAATAATTTTAACCGGTGATTTTAATTAACCTGGCGTCGATTGGCAAACCTACACGTCGAAAAACGACCAATATGATGACATCTTTGTTAACCTGGCCGTCGAAGCAAATCTGAAGCAAAAAAATATTTTTTGACAACTCGAAATTCATGTCTCGATCTAGTATTACGAATGACGACTTGCTTATCACTCATTCGACTGCAAATGAGAGAGATAGATTCTCAGATCACTTTTCGATTGAAATTGCCGCGAATGCTCGAAGTAAAGAGAGAAACAGCGAAATCTTCAGCTTCTGCAAATGTGACTTCAAAGGCTTGAGCAAAAGCATGATAGAGCAGCCTTTTCAACCGTACTGCTATAGTAACATAAACGTAAACACCAAACTCTGGTATGAATGGGTGTTCGGTTTGATCAAAAACTTCACGCCGCGTCGAACAATCAAAAAGCAGATTCATGCCCCATGGATTACCCAAGAAACATCTCATTCCCTAAATAAACTAGAGACAATGAGAAGAAAATGTCAAAAATCTGATTCCAACAAGAATTTCGAAGTTAAATAAAAAAATTTTGAAGAAAAATGCTATGATATGCAGGAAAGGGACAGATTAAATTATGAGAAACAGCTTTTCAGTACAAGAAGGAACCAGAAAATTTTTAAATACTTGAAGAGCCTACAAAAAGAAAACTTTCCGCCAAGACTCACAAATATTGAAACAGGTATGAAGGCCTCCACTGACTCGGAGAAGGCAAATCTGTTTCATGTGTACTTTTCCGATTTTGTCACAGATGTGCATTACAAATTTTTCGTGCCATGGCCTTTACAAACTTATGGGAACAAAGCTCTCTTGATTGACAGAAATTCAATTTGCCTATCATTACAGAGTATCAATATACCAAAAAGTAAGGGACCGGACCAACTGCCGCCAATACTTTTCCAGAGAACTAGTGAAAGTATCTGTAATTCACCGAAGAACTTGTTTTTAAACATACAAAGGTTAAAGAAGTTCCCCGACAAATGGAAGAAAGGAATAGTGTCACCAATATATAAAAAAAGACACCAAGGCTGACATTCTGAACTACCGACCTGTGACGTTACTCGACATTAAGTCGAAGATTTTTGAAAAGTTTTTATTCAAAGCCATAGCTGCGTGTTTCGCTGACAAATTAACTGACGTTCAATTTGGTTTCCTACCAGGTAGATCTATCATTCTTCAGCTGATTCTGAGCCTCTCGAGAATATACGAAAATATTGGTTGCTTTGAAAACACAAATCTACTCTTTTTGTTTGATTTTTCAAAAGCTTACGACAAAATAAAACATGAAATTTTGCTGAAAAAACTCCTGAACCTTGGAATATCAGAAGAATTGTTCCTCTTGTTACGCGATTATCTTTTAGATAGAACCCAAAGAGTGAGAATCAATTCAGAAATCTCAACTGATAAACGAATCAACTCAGGAGTCCAACAGGGATCAGTCCTAGGTCCTCTTCTATTTCTGTTATACCTCAAGGATCTTCTCACTGTCATTTTTAGTTCTCAAGCCTTTTAATTGCAGATGACTTAAAGTTAATTGATAGTGGACAAGAACTACATAAACTTTCATCCGATCTTGAAAACCTCTCATTTGGAGTGTCCAAAACTCTGTTTTTTAATTTCGAAAAATGTTCATGCACTGAATTCTTAATCGCAACGAAAAGAAAAAATGAAAATTTAGTAAAACTTAACTTTGGAGGGAGCGAACTCAAGAAAAGAACCGGAGTTAAAGATCTTGGACTGATAATAAATAACACATTGGACTGGGCAGCTCATGTTTTGAAACGAATTTCTAAAGCCTTAGAAAGCTTGTTTTTATTAACACGAAACACATCTCCTTCAACCAGCAAAGAACCATAAGTTGACCTATACAGATAGATTTTGAACCCAGTTTTGCTCTTTGCTTCGGAATGCTGGGGAATCAGAAAATCTGATTACCACCTAATCGAAAGCTTCAACAAAAAAGCCATTTCCTGGAACAGCAATTACAACAGCTACAAAAACGAAATCGTGAATTTTAACTTGCTTCCACCATTGTTCTTCAAAGTGTTGAAAGATCTTCTACTGTACAGCAGTATTCTAAATCAGAGATATGAGGTCGATTTTTCGACATTTTACGAAATCCGAGGAATGGACAACCGCAGGCGAATCAAACTTCCGGAACTGCAATACGAAGTACAGAGGAGCAACTTTTGGAGCCGCACTGGGCTTCGAATCAACATGATTCAAAGCAAAATCGATTTCTACGAGGACCGAAACCTAAAGAGAAATCTTATAAGACTGATGTGGAGCTTTTTCAAAGAAAACTGGACTGAAAATAATCCTTGCTCATGGATTTTCCTTTGCCTTTGTGAAAAATGTCGTGCCAACCCAGTGTTCTAAATTTTTTGGGATAATATCCCAGTGGCATACCCACGAAGCCATAATAATCATAATAATAATCATAATAGGGTTGGTATTTTCAAATTGACGTCAAACTTTAGTAACTAAATTTTCTGAAAACTTTTCAAAAAAATCATTAAAAATTCAGATCTCGGAAAATAAAAGAATTTGAGCAGTCATATTTGAAGGCCGCGTTTGGAACCCGTATACAGACTCTCACAATACCCTCAAGATAGGATTGGAATTTCAATTTAGAAGTTTTTGAATTCTATCTTTTCTGTGATTTTTTTTTTTGAAAAAATCATCATAACTCTTAAATTAAAAGGATTTGGTCATTTACATTTTGAAGCCAAAAGTGCAACCCCTCAGAGAATCCTGACAGCGCACCACCATAGGGTGGCTGATTTCATAGTTGAAATATACGCTGAAACGAAAAACGCGCGTTACATTATGCATAGATGAAAGAATCCAATCTGTACACTACCCTACACTGCTCCTCCCCTTCAATGCTGGGATCATATCTACAGCCTTACATTCGGGCATTTAAAATAGCCTAGCACTCATAAACTGGTAAACCAAAAGTATTTTGCATTGCAATATACGATATAGCTTGATCGTGCAAAAGTTCGTTCGTTTCTTAAAACTTGAATGTTTAACATATGGTATGGCTGAAAGATGGAAAGATAGTAGCAGAAAATATAATAGATAAAAGATAAAGAAACTGATTTTCAATTGGGGTGTGTATTTCGCCTCCAATTTAGCAAATGAATTTGAAGTTAATTCAAACAATACATACCACAAAAAAAAATAAAGAAAAACTTTAATTACAACGTCCTTTAATAACGTCCCAACCTTCTCTTCTCTACGAGGGGGTTAACATGTAATTGTCCTTTCATCCGATAAGCCACTTATCACGTGAGTGCTATTTAAAACTCGTGCAGCACTCCCCAACGATGCCCGACTTAGGGTGCGGTCATCTTTATTAACAGTTCGTCAAGAACCATTGATGTTTTACCTGTATGACGTTGAGTCTGGGTGCCCTCACTTTGTACTGTCTATCCGCATGACCCATCATCGCATTCAGCAGATGAATGGCAATTCTCGACACTGTCGTGTTCATGTTTTCAATCGTGTAAAGCGTCTGCAGCACTAAATCGTCATATACGAACTCAAAGTTGTCGGGTATTTCGAAGTTGAACATCACTAAACATCCGTTTCGTTGCATTCCTTCATGACCTTGATGTTTCTTCATCGACACCAGACATTGCTTTATTATTGCTCGTTTGTGAAACAAGTTGAGCTGAGTTTTGTAACAGTCATCCGAACTTATGTGGAAGAGAGATGCGCTTCCTGAAACCTGGATTTCTATCGCGTCCAGGTACAGATCCATGCAGTCAATTACATGCAGCATGAAGTCCACCGGCTTTTTGATGACTTTGTCGCGAAGTAATTGGTACACTGAGTGAAATGTTTCAAGTATGAAAGGTTTTCTTCGTCTGTAGCGACTAAAGTTTTCAAGAAGTTGTTTTTCATTTGCAGTTCCAGTTACAACTTTCGCAGGCAGTGGAGATCTTCCGGCCATGGTTGAGCTGACTAGTCCTAGGAACTCCAGAGGTGATTGAAGAATCTGCAACGCAGGAATTACGCTATCAACAGTTTGTGGTCGCTGGTTCAAGTACGGTTGTAATCTCTCTCGATCAGTTGACTCATCTCCCAGAAGTGTTCCAGAAATATCCAGACTCAGTAGATCGGGCAAACTTCCCACAATTTTTAGTAACAAATTATCGATTCCAAAGCTGTGAGCCATTCCGTCGTCTTTGCTATACGATATATCCAAGGTCTGGAGTTTTTTCAGCTGGAATATAGTTGAAAACCTTCGTTCCGCAAGTTGCCCAGTACTTGGTTCCAAATTGTAAAGTGAAAGTGACCTTAAAGTTTTATGCATCGATTTTAGGACATTCAGGTCGTCGGTAACAACTAAGTTTCCCAAGTCCAAATGCGTTAAATGGTTGAGATATGGAAACACTTCTCGAGACAAATAGTCATAGGACAAGTTAGTATTCGCAACAACAAGTGTTTCAAGATTGTTGAAACGACCCAGCCAACAATCAACGTCAAAAGTAGGGTGTTGATTATTGTCAACTTCCATCTGAGTTGTTTGTATATCTTCTTCGCCTTTCAAGTAGGGATTATCAACGCGTAAGCTATCTACATTGAGGTAAACTAGGTAGCTTCGCGAGTTACGAAAAGTTTCTAGAACTTGGTCTATTTTAAGATTTGTCGCATACTCGCAATTCACAAAACAGGCTTGATGGCTTCTTAACGGCTCAATGCTGCTCACGGCCGAGCATGATAGATCGATAAAACCATTTAGAGGTGTCTGAGGACTCCTACTAAAAAGATGCAGAATTTCGTCAACATGGTCGCTCTTTTTACAATTCACGAAGAGTTTGTGGGCTAAGAGTGGCGATAAAATAAGAGATCGCAAAGGATGTTTTAAGTCCGAGTCCATTAAACATTTGAAGTTCTCTCCGGTGCATAAAAACTGTATGCACGAGTCTACCAAAGAATCAACATTTTCACGCGGAAGAGACATTGCGACTCACGACCGATGGCTATTTTTTCACATTTTTTCTGAAAGTCCACATACATTTTTCTGTTTCTGCAGTCATAAAAACTAACATAACAATCGGCTGATGCACCAAGGGACAAAACTAAAAGCAGAGTTGCTATCATTATCTCTGCTCTGAAAGACTCTCTACAAAACAAGAATTCAAGGACTAAAATACCACTTTATTCATTGAATTTTAAGATTTAAATTGAAGTGCACATCGTTAAAACAAAATTTTTAACCGTTGAAAAAAAATGAAATATCTCAAAGATAATGAGTTGCTGGCTATACCTTTTGATGAGGGGGTTGGTTTTTGCATAATGAGGAAACAAACGTATGAATCAATGAGGTTAAGCTGAAAATTGAGAAAAAATTTTAAAGAATTACTAGCCATGAAGAAAAACACGAGATAATTGATCAGTTATATTCTAAGATGAGGTCAACAGGGGGTGTAACATTCGCCCAAATACTACAGTGACGGAGCGTAGAAAAAGTAGCTATTAACGACTGGCAGGCGTCAGTTGCCATAATTCTACTCGTTTTTCACAGTGTCGACCTTGCCAGTTGATTTTCTGGTCTGTTTAGGGCTAGTAAAAAGTTACTATTTTTTACTAAGTAACAAGTTACTGGGACTCCTACTTGTAATAAGCTACAAAGTTAGTTTATTATAGTCCTTCGCCATATACTGTCTCTGGGGGGGGGGGGGCGAGCCTCCGCTTCCGTGTTTTTCTTGTAATAACGTCGTTTTTACATCCAATTCGTGGCACGGGAGGGTACTGCTCTCTACTTTTTCCCCACTGAAGCCGCCCTTCTCGCTAAATCCTTCTGCTAAGTGTCTTATCGTGCGTGATCGTCACGATAAGAGGCTTCGTTTTAATATCGTTATCGTCCAACTGTTTTTCACTATTTTCGCTGTTGTTCTCATTTTATCACATTTTCTAGTCAAAATGGCCGTTTTTCGTATTTCTGAGAAATATCCGTTCATTAATCGAAATTTTGAAAATTTGAAATTCTCGAATAATCCGACCCTCTTTCGCAGCAATTTTCAGTCCTTAGGGCCTTTATTTCTATGTTTACGTAGCGTCGGAAGGTTGCGCTGCCCCAGTTTGGCAGAATGGCAAATAGTCCCCGGACAGTCCCCATCAATGTCCCTATTGATCGCATAACACCGGGTGTGCCAGTCGGTCATATCTAGACGTTTGAACTTGAGGGACATGAAAATACGTGATTTTGGAGTGAAGTTTTAATTTTCAAAAGTTCGAATCGAGCCTGTCATGCTCAGTTTTCTCGCGACAACTGAAAACATAAAATGAAAAAGGAGAACGACCGATTTAACAATTGCGGGAAAGTGGTCAAATGTATACAGTGGGAAATCGCTATTCGCAATTTCCATCATAGAAAACGAGAGTAGAGCTGTCCTATCTGATATAGAAGACCAAACGAACAAAAGAGCAGAACTAAAATCAACTGGACCAATGTGAACCTTCAACGGGAAGGTGGACAAGTGAAGTCTCCCAATGGTCCAGAGTCAAAACTATATTCTTGAGTAAAAACTTACTTCCCTTGATTGGGACTCATCATTAGAAAACTTCTTGAGTTACATTTGATTATATTTATGCCGGAGTCGTTAATTAGTTCAATTACTCTGTGTCTCAAGCGTGCTGCTATGTGAGTACTAAATTTAGTTTTCTCGAGTGTGTTTTATGATTGTTATGTTGAGATAAGGCGAGTCTTAGGTTGATCCATCTGAAATGGATCAAAGTTCCAATGTCCAACAAAAAGTAACATAACGGATTGTTCCGACCCTGTTTTTAACGGCGTTCGTGTATTTTGGGTATTTCGAGACCTAGGTATGGGAACGTTCTTATTTTCTAGAGTGGGGGGATATTTTGGTAGTAGCCTTTAAGCTGTAACGGGTTCTAGTCTCATGTCGCAAGCGAACCGGATTGGCTCCGACCGTTTTTGAGGTAGAAAAACACAAGAGATAGTGTCCCTGACTCTTGAGCCATTGGTTATAGGGCCTATTTTTCTTAAGCCTCATATGTGACTGAAGTAAGCGACTGTTACATAGTGTTTTTATGGCACTTCTGGGTGTTTTTACGACATCATGACTACGGAGTCGAACCCACTTGACACAGCTCCAGGCTGCATGCCCATTCTAGAGTACCGGTGGTACGGCTCAGCGTGAACGTGTAAACCTTCGGGTTGTACCGTGATAGCTTTTTAAGAAAACTTGAGAAAACTTCCTTGTATGCTCCCTGAACGAGGCCTAGCTAACCGAGTAAAGGGGGGATACTAGGGGGCAGAAATACGAGCAAAAAGACAAAAAGCGAAACAAAAACAAGAAAAATTTATAGAAAAAGGAACAAAAACCATAAAACAAAACAGACAGTGACATTGATACCAGATCAGTTGGATCAAACCTTTATATTAATTAAATAGTATACCCATACTGTTTTATAAGACCGATCGTTTCGATCAATCTAGCAACCTAAACCAGTGACTTCAAAAAGGTGCCCAAGTGAGGGCCATTGTTAAGGGTTTTCAGATAGCTTGCAACCTAGCTGGACCACTAGGAGACTTGACTGGAAAAGGTGACCAGCCGAGTGGGAAAGTGGTTCACAAGGGCTGAACCGGACCACTAGGAGACTTGACTGGAAGAGGAGACCAGCCGAGTGGTAAAGTGGTTCAGAGGGACTGAGCTGAACCGCTAGGAAACTTGAGTGGAAGAGGTGACCAGCCAAGTGGAAGGTGGTGCTGGTGTCAAGTGCAGTGCACATCAAGGAGACAACCAGCACGGGATCACTACAAGAGGACACACAGGGGTGTTCTCAAGTTGGGCAAACGGGTATCGTTAAAATCCACATTACATTATAGGAGATAAGTGTAAAATTAGATAAGCGGAGCCCCATTGTTTTGAGGAAGTTTTTACACAAGCAGGCCTGGAAACAGGTCTACGGTTTTCTCTCGAGAGGTTTAGCACCCGGCGCATAAGGGTTTTTTCGGCTTAAGATGTTGGCTAAAAAGGGGGGAGGTTAGAAGGGGGGTGGTTAGGTTAGAGGTTAGCGGTTGTAAATTGTAAAAAGGGGGGACACGTTAGAGTAACTAATTGTTCGGCATCGTCGATTTAGTTACATTAGATACTTACACGCGTTGGTTATAAGAAGCGGATCTCCAAATTTAACATCGAGTTAAAGTAGGTACCCTGGTCGGATTGGTATGGGGGAAAGGACATAGACAGTTTTTGTGATACCCCATAAGATCGCTAGCAGAGGGGAGGAAAACGCGTGGCAATCGGGTACCAGACATTTTTTCGGACAAAGATTGACATCTGTCAACCTTAAATTTTAGGTGGGTTCATCTCTCTGTTTGTGAAATTTTTTCTGTTTAAATTTTTACTTTTTGGTGAATATTTGTTGTTGGTATACGAACGAACAGGCGATCACAAGAATTTAGGAATTTAGGTCTTGGGACAGTACCGAAGAAGTCTTGGGACATTGCAGTCTGGGGACAGTCTTGGGACAGTGCAGTCTTGGGACAGTCTTGGGACGGTGCAGTCTTGGGACAGTCTTGGACCAGAGCAGTCTTGGTACGAAACAGTCTTGGGACAGTAGTCTTGGGACAGTAGTCTTGGGACAGTGGCCTTGGGACAGTAGTCTTGGGACAGTAGTCTTGGGACAGCAGTCTTGGGACAGTGGTCTTGGGACACTAGTATTGGGACAGTAGTCTTAGGACAGTATTCTTGGGACAACAGTCTTGGGACAGTGGTCTTGGGACACTAGTCTTGGGACAGTAGACTTAGGGCAAGGGTCTTGGGACAGTGGTCTTGGGACACTAACAAGAAGTACTGGGACAGCACTGAATAGTCTTGGGACAATTGAGAGGAAGTCTTGGAACAGTATAAAGAAGGGGGTGACGGTACTAAAGAGTGACGGAGCGTAGAAAAAGTAGCTATTAACGACTGGCAGGCGTCAGTTACCCTAACTCTACTCGTTTTTTGCCGTGTCGACCCTGCCAGCTGATTTTCTGGTCTGTTTAGGGCTAAGTAAAAAGTTACTATTTTTTACTAAGTAACAAGTTACTGGGGACTCCTACTTGTAATAAGCTACAAAGTTAGTTTATTATAGTCCTTCACCATATACTGTCTATGGGGGGGGGAGCCTCCGCTTCCGTGTTTTTCTTGTAATAACGTCGTTTTTACTCCCAATTCGTGGCACGGGTGGGTACTGCTCTCTATTTTTTCCCCACTAAAGCCGCCCTTCTCGCTAAATCCTTCTGCTAAGTGTCTTATCGTGCGTGATCGTCACGATAAGAGACTTCGTTTTTATATCGTTATCGTCCAACTGTTTTTCACTATTTTCGCAGTTGTTCTCATTTTATCACTTTTTCTAGTCAAAATGGCCGTTTTTCGTATTTCTGAGAAATATCCGTTCATTAATCGAAACTTTGAAAATTTAAACTTCTCGAATATTCCGACCCTCTTTCGGAGCAATTTTCAGTCATTAGGGCCTTTACTTCTATGTTTACGTAGCGTCGGAAGGTTGCGCTGTCCGAGTTTGACAGAATGGCACATAATCCCCGGACAGTCCCCATCAATGTCCCTATTGAGCGCATAACACCGGGTGTGCCAGTCGGTCATATCTAGAAGTTTGACCTTGAGGGACATGAAAATACGTGATTTTTGAGTGAAGTTTTAATTTTCAAAAGTTCGAATCGAGCCTGTCATGCTCAGTTTTCTCGCGACAACTGAAAACATAAAATGAAAAAGGAGAACGACCAATTTAACAATTGCGGGAAAGTGGTCAAATGTATACAGTGGGAAATCGCTATTCGCAATTTCCATCATAGAAAACGAGAGTAGAGCTGTCCTAACTGACATAGGAGACCAAACGAACAAGAGAGCAGAACTAAAATCAACTGGACCAGTGTGAACCTTCAACGGAAAGGTGGACAAGTGAAGTCTCCCAATGGTCCAGAGTCACAACTATATTCTTGACTAAAAACTTACTTCCCTTGATTGGGA